CATAACTCTTATATGGAGGATGCAAGTAATTATATTGAGAGTTGTAGGGAGTTGGGGAAGTTGTGGATTTAAATTCCATTAAAAATATTCCCTAATCCTTTTAAAAAATCTTGCTGGTTGAGTCACCCCACATAGGCGACAACATTTACGATTTCTGACGTATTCAACCATTTTTGCTTGCTTCTTCCATGAATGAAAGTCTGTCAACATTGTTGGATGCTAGATTGGTTTGTATTAATCGTGCCAACGTATTAATTCAATTCCAGAGGGTAACCTTCTCCTTTTAATAAAAAAAAAAAAATAATAAAAAACGATTGATACTTGATAGTACTACCTTTGAAACTGCTCCATCCCTCTCTGTGTGTGTATATATACATAATACATACAATTAGTTGGTGAATCAGTACGGACTATCTACAATGAGAGATCAATTTTTTTTTAATTATTATTATTATTATTATTTTTAACAAACTTCAATGATCAGAGATTGTCGCCAAGCATTGAACTAGATGTGGATTTGAAAACTATCGATGAGAGAAGGCTTGTAAGTATATCAAGATTAAATAAGGCATACGGTAATTTCTATTTGGTATTATTTATCATCGTTTTTATTTAAGTTCATGGACAATTAGGGTTTCTACCTGGACCTCCGTAATAGAAGTAATTAGTTCCTGTTTGGACATCATAGCAGTTGGAATGCCGAGCGAAGGTGCCAAGATCTTTGGGATCTTTAAGAATGTTGGAGCTGTCAACAACTTGAATATTCTTGAAAAAGCTCGGCTTGCCAAACCCTTCTCCTGGGAAACGACCACTGCCCATTTGAGTCAAGGTGTGCAGTTGTTGGATTTTATGCGCAATATTAAAGAAATGAAAAAGAAAATCAACATAAGAATTTACGTGGTTCGACGGTGTGCCTACGTCCATGAGAACGAAGTGGAGATTTTTTTATTCAGTAGTGAAAAATAGGGTTACAACATATTATTTATACTAACTCTAGCCTGGGCCCATATAAGACTTTAAGGCCCGTACAGAAAATACCCCCGTACCGTACCGCGGGGGCATTGCCCCCCGCACCCCAACCCATTCAGCGTCCCTAACCACTAGACTGTGAATTAAACCAGCGTAAGGCCGATGCCGTCGCTCCGCTCCGACATCGACCCATTTGATCCAGGACCTGTGTTCCATTCTATATGAGCCACATGCACAACAATCTCCACCTTGGCGAATATTCACCCCTTAGGAGAAAAAACATAACTTGAAAAAACCACACTATCTAGGACCAATGGGTTGGGACACATCCTCTCTAACACCTAGAGATGTTAATCAAGTTTAAGCAGTACTTGAACCTATCCATTGTGATTGGCTTTGTCATCATGTCTGCTGCATTCTCTGAGGTATGCACCTTCTCTAACAATAGCTCTCCTGAAGTAACCAACTCTCTTATCTTATGAAATCTCACATCAATATGCTTGGCTCTGGCATGATAAATCTGATTCTTTGCTAGGAAGATGGCTCTCTGACTATCATAGTATAGCTTCATTCTAGCTTGCTTTATCCCAAGTTCCCCGACAAGCCCTTTCAACTACAATAATTCCTTGGCTGCCTCAGTTGCCGCCATGTACTCTGCTTCAGTTGTAGATAATGCTACAAGTAACTGTACCATTGATCTCCAACATATGGGCCTACTTGTGAGTGTGAAAACATAACCTGTATTGGACCTTCTGTCATCCAAGTCCCCTGCATAATCTGCATCTACATATCCTTGAACTGAAATATCACCATGTTGTCTCTCAAACACGATC